TTTGGCCTTCTTTCAAATTAATCTGAGCACCTAGAATCAAAATAATACCTACTTTACTTTGTATCAAGAAGTTTTGAAATTCATTTCATTTTTCAGATCTGGAGGCTTTCAGGTGTGAAGTGTGTAACAAATTCTTCTCACGGAAGTACGGTCTCACCATACATATGAAAGCGATACATGAAAGTAAGCAGTGCTTGTTAATGCTACTTCAGGCATTCCTTCTATTTTTTATCGATTTTCGCAGCAACATCTTGACTCATCTTCCTTATTAACCTGAGTAAGGCGTTCTTCCACAATCGGTCCAACAGTAGTGCGATAGTATGGTTAGTCAAGTGGAAGTAGGTAACCAAGAACTAAGATAAATATTAGGTTAATGCCTTCACTTAAGTCGTATCTCGAGAGAAAGCTTAAATTTTCAATTGCGGTTTCTGTTGGTAAGCTTGGAAGAGTACTGTGGTTCTTAATACTTTATATTTAAAGCTAAATTTTCACTTATTTGTATTATTTGTAATATCTGTCTCATTATCAGTGGTTATTCTTCTAGATCTGATAATATTTCGATGTGGAGAATGCGATTGTTCCTTCAAAACCAAACGTAGTCTGCAGTTCCATGTGGATGGTATTCATAGAAGTATGTTTCTTGTGTTGATTTAACTTATGAGGTTCATTGCTCGGCATGACATCCCGTACCATAGCTTTTTTGACTACTCTTTTGTATATTTTCTTCCCTTTTTGAAGTGGGGTGAATCGGGATCATATTTTCGAAATAGGTCAAAGCACTCTTGCTGTTAGAACAGTTCGGTTGTGGTTAAAGTGGACACTCCAATTTATTAAAAAAAAATTATTCAAGTAATTACGTGTAGTCTGTTTTCAATTTTCATTAGAAATTATAATGTAAAGCTAGTACAAAATTTAATCTCTTAGTGTGATATCTTATACAAATCTATTAAAGGAAACCCACTTTAGTAATGTGACCTAGTCAGTTGACCTGTGCCTTTCGATGTCATAGTAGATTAGTTGAATGTGTAACTTTGATGTATTTGCATTTTCTCAACAAATAACGGTCGACTTTATGCACTCACAACTTTTAACAAAATGGCGTATTAATTTTTCAGACTTCAGACCTTTCAAATGCGAACAGTGTGAGAAATCTTTTTCTCGCTTAAACCACCTCAAAGAACACGTGAAGAACATTCATGGAAGTAAGTGTTTTTACTCATCTTTATTTCCTCCTCGTGCTGCAAAATACTGCTACTACTGTCTCTCACACGCCACTTAATTTACTAGATGTAGTTGGGTCATTGAATGAAATGTAAGAGTTGTTTTCTAAGACCTCTTGCAATCGAGGCCATGGAACAAGAGCCAACATGTCTTTGTAAGATCACACCCCATAATATGACATGGGTTACGCGCATGTTGGTAGACGAAGAAGATTCGTTTTGCAGCACAGAAATCCGTGGTTTACTGAAAGTTGCCTAGCTGTATCTTTAGTACTGCCTTTTTGTCAAGTGTGGGGATGTTACGAAGGGCAAAATTGCAGATTTTAAAAGCTTTCTATGATAATCTCAATACTGATTGTTTCTGTGCTTCCGTTTTGTAAATATCATATCCTTTTACTGTAGACCTATTACTTTGCATTTTGAATGGACTTTTTTCGATGAGCAGGTTCGAAGCCTTTTAGTTGCGAAGTCTGCCTAAAGGAGTTCTACCTTCGAAATAATCTCCTTCAACACATAGCTGGCGTCCATAAGGGTAATAACTTTCCCTTTCTACAAATACTGCAGTACTCACTCACTCACGCTCTTCATTGCGTACTATTTTCCAGGTGAGAGGCCTTACGTTTGCAACTATTGCGGTTTGTCCTTCAAAAGCAAAAGTTACGTCAAGAAGCACATTGGCCGATTGCATGAATAAAGGTGATTTGTGCTTCCTCTCATTATTAACCGATTTCATTTAAAGTGCCGTACTTTAGGATCTGAGTTGGAAAAATTCTATTTTAGGTAAAACTGCGGTGGAAACTGGAAAGGATGTGAATTCTGATTCAAATATAGTGGTTGCAGATGCAAAATTTGAGCCCATAGAATCTTTTTTAGTTGTTATTTATAGATTTTGTTCTCAATAAATGAGGTATTTGTGCATTTTTTCAACGCTATCTCCGATGATTATTATTTATGTGGAATTTCGCTTGAATTTGCTGACTTTTAGGTCATTGAAGTAGTGAAAACATCTTCCTTTCAGCTTTTCTGCTTGTCAATATATTTCGATATATTGCTGAATTATATTTATTTGCATCAAATGGCAGGCTGTACAATAGTTATCATTAACCCTTTAGTTGACCTCGAACTTCACAGAGCGGAGGAACATCAAGGTCACGAAAAGTCGCGAGGAGGAACGGAAGCGTGAGACAGATATAAAAGTAGGGGAAAAAGGAAAGGTGAGTACTGTGGAAGTGGTCGAACATGACTTAGAGTTGGGTCATGGTAGTTTGAAGTTAACTGCCGGTTTATAAACTTTCTTGCCCTATGCGTATACGCTGCCCAGGATACGCTAGGTGGAGATACGTCTATCGCGCACCCCTCTTTCGGAAAAGTATGTGGGTGTGTTTTTTAGCGTTTTAAAATTCAACTACTTAGAGCACGAATCTGCAAATTTTCATTAAAACATCCAAAATTATCTCCCTACTAAATGCCGACCAAAATATTTCCTTTTAGAACAGTACGAGATCAGAGTATATATTATTCTATTACATATGACGAAAATCGAACACTGTAACAGTTTATATACTCCAAACCTATTTAAATTGAAATTGCAATATTAAAAGTCGGTTAAGTGCTGGTTTTAATTACTTTACTGTTTATTTAAAAATAATACAATGTGAGCGTTTTAACATTATAGATTAAAATGAAGTAATATATATTCAAATAGCCACTTAAGTATGCAACGACACTTACTGTCAGCAAATAATCATAAATTGTTGGCTATTTAAAATTGTCCATCCGATTAGATAAAAATGGCCACAAAATTACTAAAGAATATGAGAAATTTATACTGAAAGTAGAAAATTATATGCGATATTTGACAAATGTGAAATCCCACAGATCTGGAGCTTAGTCAAGTTTTCAATTAAATTAATAACCGCCCGTTCATGAGTGAAGTTTAGTTTGAAACGATCTAATTTCGGAACTTATTTACAATTTCAAGACGTTTAATTATTTCGAACAAATTGGTTCCATGGTGATGTGAATATATGCACTTTTAACAGTGAATTCGCATTAGTTCAACTAAAAATCCGCAGGTATTCATTGCGAGGGCACAGATTTCACAATGACTCTCTTCTGTTTGATGAGGAGTCCTCCCCTGAATCGTTTCCATTCAACTAATTCAGTCAAATTCACTTTTCAGTCTATTTTCCCATTATAAGATGGCGATTATTCGTACCCTTTAAATTTGACATCAATCCTTCCACTGGCAAAATAAAAATTTACGAGACAACCTCTATTGTTTTTTCTTTTTGGCAATTCGGTTGATTAAGGAAGTAATATCCCAATGTTGCTTTCATGAGTTGCTAAGGTGAAACTGGCTTTTAAGACTGCATGTCCTACAACCAACGCCCATTTCCCAGATGAATAAAAAACTCAAAAGAATCTTATCAAATGAATCCAATGGACTTGATTCACAGACGCATAGAAGAAGAGGCGAGAGATCAAGGAAGCATCCACAACTTTTTCCCCCCTGATTTCACTTTATTTTTGACAAAAACAAAGCGATGCTTTAATGAGGATAGCTCATATCTAATTCAATGAGGATAACCAAAGTAGTCTCATCACACGTTGCAATTCAATTCACCTTGCCGCCTAATTTGCGTATAAGCAGCAGCAGCGGCACACAAGTGGCAAATAATGCCACACCACCTTCCACTATTTCAGAAGCGAACGCACACCTTCTGGTTATTTCTAAATAAAATTATTCAGAGACTTATAAAGGACACGTTTTCGAATATAACTTGATAATTTAAAGAGCAGAAAAAAGTAAAACAGTTGTATTTATTGAAAATAAAATACGACATCGTAGAAGGTGTCTATGGGGGCTCAGATTTTATTTCTACAGCCGGCAAATTTAGTGTGGGCTTTATGACATTTTGAGACTCTTCAACACTCCTACCTGAAATCAAAAAAAAAACATTTTTAATCATAGACAACAGAATCGAAATCATGAAAGGCAACAATTCATCTTAAGACAATCCTATTGTGTGGAACTTAGCAAAACTAAAGGGTTTGAAGGGCTTACTGGAAACTAGACATTCAATTTATTATTAGGAAGGCAAGAGTGCAGTTGCAAGGTAGCGAGAATTCATTCTTAAATCAGCATTCAAAGCATTGAAACGACAACTATTACAGCTGAAAAGATCACTCTACTTTATTCATAAACCAATCTCTGCATTCCATAATGCCTCGAATATTAAACAACTGGGGGTGTGCGATAGACTTACCTCCACGTGGTGCGCCCTGGGCAACGTATACTCATACGGCAAAAAGTCTATTATTCGGCAGTTGACTTCTGACTTCAAACTTCCATGACCCCACTGTATGTCATTTTCGACCACTTCCTTAGTACAAATTTTGCCTTTTTCTCTACCTTTGTGTCTGCCTCTTTTACATCTTTAAACCACTCTTCCGTTCCTCCTTATCGACTTTTTTCACTTTGATCTTCCTCCTCCCCTCTATGAAGGCCGTAGCCAACTAAAGGGCTAATGATACCTATCAAATCACCTGCCATTTGATATAAATAAATTTTAAACACCTTGACTATTAAATAATGGTGATTTCGGTCGATTCCCCAGTTGAATGGACAAAATGTCCTTATTTCTCAACACAAATTCCCGGCATCAGCAATGATTTTGTAAAATAGATCAGAAGGAATTCAGGATGATCAAATAAAAAATCGAGTGAAATCGTTTAAGTCCTCTTTACAAAATAAATGCTTACTCCTATGAACCACGTTCACGTGGTACTGAAGGCTTTGCTTGGATGGGAAGAAATTCCCGCATTTATCACACCGAAACGACGTCCCCCCTGGAAGTTGGAAGATAGCTTATACGTTGAATTATTACAGGTAGAATCCAGTAGATATTTCTTTTCAATAATAGAAGAAGGGACTGGGAACAGAAGAAAGATTAATTGCCAAATACTTACTTTCATGAATGCCCCTTATGTGCTGTTTGAGTGAGTCTGGCCGAGAGAAGGACTTGTCACAAATCTCGCACCTGAAAGATCTGAGATCTAAAAATTAAATTGCAACACCAAAATTTCTTCAGCTCAACAGCTTTCAAAAAATAAACCAAAAAGGCAAAGAAAAATTAGTAATGAAAAGGAATTTACGATTTTTTGCACCAATGGCTAAATAGATGTTAAATATTAATTGCAGAGCATTTACAAAAATATGCAACTATGTACGGTACAGTCCGCATGTAAAGTTAGAACTTTAAGCATTACTTTAACAATAGAGACAAGACAGCTCATAGAACTTATAATCCAAAGTTATTTGAGGTGAAAGAAAGCTTTCCTTCATAATTCTAAGCTTTAAGAACCTCCTAAAAATAGTAACTTTTGACACTTGTTTCATTAGAAAGACCATTACATAAAACATTACCCTATTTTAAAATCACTCAGTAAGTGATCGGTTACATGATGGATTACAATGAAATTCACAACCACCCAATCAAGAAATCGGTGTAAGGAAGAGAATATTAAAAGGCTTGAGTTTTCAGCTCCATTTCCTGCTCCCGAAAATAATTCAGTACTAGTTCACTGCACACATGTAGCTTCTTCAGAACAAGTTCAAATTCCCTTGAACTTGTTGAAGTTTCCCAAAAATAAATAACGTCTAGTCTATCCACAAAGCGATCATTTCTTTCTTTAGTTAAGAGAAAACATGCCAGTAATTAGTTCATAGCATGAAGAACATACCAAATCATCAATCACCTTCTAATGGGCAAGCATTCTTTCAATAAGTGGGAAGAAAATGAGAATAATATCGTCAATCATGTCAAGGGAAAATATTTAAATAAACTCCACTCTGCAATCTGAAAACTTATATTTAAGCAGCAGGTTGAAAGCATAATCGACCGAAATAAAAACTTTTGAATATTTTACCAAATTTAGATGGACCAATCTGAAGAGACTATCATGTGTTTACTTCAATCGTCAAAACAGGATTCATTCAATATATTCATATATTCATTCATATATGGTTGAATTAGATGCAACTGACGATAAGTAATTTGCACTTACTTCTATGAACTCCGTCCACATGAAACTGGAGGCTCTGTTTGGTGGAAAAGGATCTGTTGCACTCATCACATGGAAATGGTTTCAAATCTAAGAGAAAGTAGATATTATTAATATATCATATAAACTGCAAAGGTGCATGTCAGACACTTGAAGTTAGACTGATGGAAAAGGACAAATTTAGGATATGGTGATTTAGTGTATCGAAAAACTCGTTTGATGGGACATGTTGAAAGAATAATAGATGATAATAAGAGGATATTTTCACGACTTCTCCCATATTATTACTCGGTGCAATCTAACTGCTCAAAAAGCAGCTGATACGCATAGTTTGGTTGTCATGACATTTTATTATCTCTTTTAAATCGATTGCAGTAGACAATGCCATTCAAATTATTAAAACAATGCCTATTGCAGCTGAAAAGATCGGAAGTTTCCACTTTTGCACATTGCACTCTACTTTATTCATAAACCACCTACCTTTGCGTTCGGTTCTACACCTGTCTTCATTGCTTTAGAGACATCCACTCAGATATCTACTTTCATCATTGCATAACACCTCAACAAAATGTATTAAACAATAGTGCTTTCGGCCAATTCCTCAATAGCATGACAAATTCCCATATTCCTCAACACTGGTTCCCCGCATCAAAAAATGATTGTGTAAAATAGATCAGAAGGAAATGGGAAAAATCGAACGCTTACTTCTATGAACCCCATCCACGTGATACTGAAGATAACGTTGAGATGTGAAGGCTCTGCCACATTCCTCACACTGAAATGGTTTTAAGTCTATAAGAACAAATGTTAGTAGCAAATTTCCCACACTATTGTAATCTTGAAAAGTGTACACATATTAACTTAAAAAAGTTCTCCACGTTTTAAGCTCTCCAGATACAAACAAATTTACTATCACAAATATATGTTATGAGAAGACGTGACGTCAGCATGACTGCAAAGTCCATACTTTTACGAAATACAATTGCCCCATTATTCGAGGCATCTTGATCAACTTGGTTTGCACTTTGTTACATTCAGACCATTTGTCTCAAAACGGGTTTCTCTAGCTGCGTCTGAAATATTGGGTAAGAAGAATTGGGTGAAAGCAGTCACTCTTCAAGGCAAGCGAGTAAATATTGGACAACGGCAAATGGAGCACGGAGGCATAGCCATGATGAGAGTTGATGTGAACAAAAATAAAAGCAAGATAAAATGAGTGGACCAAAATGTGAAATACTTACTTTCATGAACCGTCTGTATATGCCTTTTGAGGCCTCCTCTTTGTGAGAAGGATTTTTCACAAACCTCACACTTGAAAGCCCTCACGTCTACAAAGTGAAAGGGGAATTAAAGGCTAACAATGCAATGCTAAAAGGTACTCTTAAGGCCAGATATGTTCATATGGAGCAGGAAGAAAGTAAAAGACCTCTGATTATGAGAAATAAATAAATAAATATATATATATATATATATATATATATATAT